TATACAGCTTGGAGTAAGACAACATGCATGAAGAGGATGATGTGGACAAAATACTCATTTGCCTAATAATTCTGCACTCCCTGTACTGCTTCTGCTGGGTCTCTCTGCTTAAGACTCTGTTGTCTCTTGGACTGCCATGTTGTTGCTTTCTGGAACTGCATTTCTTGTTTTCAAGGAGAAGTTGGCGTCCTTGGAGCTCGCTTTTCAGGATGAGGAATCAGAAAGACTTTATTTATCCCCAAGGGGCAATTAACACATAGAAGTGAAGCTGTAAACAATTCAGTCAACACTCGGCCTGAGTGTTTCTAAAGATGTTAACCTATAATTTTCTTCCGACCGCTGCATGTGGGAAATTGATCCAGGTCTATTTCCCCATCTGCAAGTGACACACGTTCATCATTCTTATCACTGCTTGTCAAGTGTTCTCTGTCTGTGAGGTGCCCACACTTGAAAAAGACCAGACTTTGAGTTTCACTCACTTTATTTTGAACAGCTAGTTAGATAGTGGATAGGTAGGTAGGTGAAAAACCTTTCAACACAAAAAATAAAGAACATTTCATTAATCATTCAGATAAATTAAATCCATTATACAGAATACAAATGAAATAACAAATATATACACTTTAGTAAAGCCATTTAACATAGCTAAAGCTAAATACTTTTGTCTAAATTATCATTTAACCCAGTTTAAGTTAGTTTTACATTCATTGGTTTTTAATCACAGAGCTGAGTAATTTCACACAACAAAGATGAAATAAACTGTGGTTCTTAAATACACAGTGTCTACCTTGCATTTTACACTTTTTATAAACTATTACATTTTTAAAGTATACATTTTAGAGTTTGCAAATATTTTAATAAAAAGACTTTGACCAAGGATTTTCTTTTACAAAGAATTATTTTCCTTAAATTAAACCAAACATATTTACACTAGTTTTAAGATTTCACCAAGGATTTGGGGTAACTATTTTTAGTATTAATAAAATAAATATGTGGGAAACACCATCTACATAAACAATTTATTCAAACTTAAACATTCCTTTTAATATCAATATAGTTTTTTAAACTTAAATGCAGTAACTATTTCCCAAAGCATAAATACATTTCCACAATTGAGCTTCCATAGTTCCCCAACATATAAGCAGCAAATATGAGTCCAAGAGCTTACCGATAGCCCGTCTAGCTCAAAGTCTTCCTCACAGTGGAAAGTGGATTGTGCTTTGTTTGCAGTCCTCTCAGTATGTCGCACCCAGGTCAAATGGCTGCTGCATGCATTTTAAGGTCTACTAGGCACGCCAGCCCTTGATTGCTCTAATTCAGCTCACCTGGCGGAGCGGCGCGCACCAGGCCGCGCTTAGTTGCACACAAGGTCTAATCAGCAGCCATGTGCAAGCTGCAGCACAGAGCAGGTAGTGGGCAGGAGGAGGAAGAGAGGAGTAACAGCCACACCTACTAGGTCAGCGCGACACTGCTTAAATAAGACACCTCCTCTCTCTGGTTTTGAACTCTCCTCTCTTAAACCCAGAAAATGAGATTGTAGTTGTTCTAGGCTGAGAAACACAAAACCCTCTTCATATTATTATTGCTTTTTTTAAATCAACAACTCTGTTATATATAGCTTTGTGTCCACCCTAGGGGAGTTCTAGGTTCGCATGGGTCCGCGTATCCAGAGCTGAGGATCTTGCGTCCTCAACAGACCTGAGGGGTGATGGAGATGTAGTCTCTACACGTATAATATAACCTGTAATATGGACAGTATGACAGTTCTCAAATATGCAGACAACATGGTGGTGCACCAGACTCTAATAGCCTGGCAGCATGTTGTCAGCAAATACAACTCACACGCTGTTTCAGCACCTGGAGGTCAAAGGGCAGGTGGTGCAGCAGCTCAGTGCCTTTAGGTACCCGAACAGTGAGGAGACTCAGAATACTTTATCAATGCCAGAGGAAACTTTGCAGTCACAGTTGCTCCAAGACAGTAAGGACAGTAACTAACAAGTTACAGTACCAATAAAAAATTACAGTATATTACACAATAGTTCTAATAAATAAATAAATATCCCATTATCTCACATGGAAGAGAGTGTAGATAAAGCTGAAATTGAGATGCCCTCTTACACTCTCCTTTGTAGAGGATGTGCAGCTGTTGCTGCACATTAGATGGACGTAGCCACAGGCAGGAACTATTTTCTGTCTCATTTGGATAAATCTGTCTCTGATTGAGCATGCTCAGCACATCACGGAGTGGGTGGGAGGTGTTGTCCAGCATCCTCCATGTCTTGGACAACATCCGTCTCTTTGACACCATCTTGGCAGAGTAAAAATAAAATTCTCACCAGGAAAATACATGCATGCAACATAAGAGTTCATTCTGACACTAGAAGAACCCATGTTCATGGACTACCTTGACAGCCGAGTCAGCCAGCAGTCAGGTGGCTAATGTTGGTCCAGAACCACTAAGGAGCTCTTGTGAGTTGTCATGGGGAAGAAGGCAAGAATGCCTGGCTGTTATACTGGGAACTGTGGGACCATGTGCCTGTCTCACCTGAGAGCACTTCCTGAGTGAGGTTAGAACGAGAGTCAGTGAGTCCTCAGCAGACCATAGTGACACATCTCACATAACACGTTTATGTTTTGTTTCTCTTTTGTTCAGGCTACAGCTGGGATATGGTTCATATGATGGAGAAGATCTGTAGAGACCTTAAACATCCCGTAACATTCCCAGTACGTGCAGCTCTGCTGGCCAAGTCCTTCTCCCAGCTGGCATGGCTGCTGAAGCAGTCAGACAGGTGAATGTCGGCCACATCGGACCTTTTTCTCAGAACAACACCACAAACATGCAGTAAAGGAGAGCAAATCAAAACCAGCAAACTGTATTCATCTAATTAGTCTCATTGTGGATCAGAGTTAGTCAGTAGGTTGCAAGCAGTCACAGTAGTTTCTCCTTTTTACTTCTCACACATTGGTGTGGGACACAGCTGAAGCGTTATGTTACCATATAATCATAAACTGTCCTTTTAGCTTCTTCGATAAGATCTCTGTCTGCCAAGCAGTGAGAGAGAAAGTGTCATCACTGGACAGAAGCATGTGTGGATCACAGTTTAACTCGATCCACACTCGTCTCATAGTTGTGATTTCATTGGACCATTTTAATGTTTCAATGCCACAAAGTTAGATTTTCATCTGTTGTTACAATAAAGTTGAAAAAATCAGAATAAAGTCAAATGGGCGGAGTTTCCAAAATCATTCTGACATATGTTAATACCTTTTTTTTCCTTGACATTGACAGGTACACTCTAACTGTGTGGACGGGCCAGAGTGATGAGTTCTCACTGCAGGACTTGCTGCCCTACAGAGAAGAGTTTGCCATGAGCAGGATTTACTTTGACCTGCCAGACTCTCTAAGAGCACGGATCAGTTCAGCACAATAAGCAAATATGAATCCAGTGAGAAGTTGTCTGGCTGTGACATTAACTGGTGCACCTGCAAGTGAAAACTAACTTCATCCTGAATTTATCTGAAGCTCACTTCCTGTTAAAACAGAGTTCATCCTCCCCACGGTCACCGACTGCTTGCTCATAGGAATCGTCTATTCATGAGGATCCTCTGCAGTACTGTAAGGTGTCTGCCTCACAGTATTAAGGCCATGAAATTAATGTTACTGGTCCTGGTGCATTTCAAATCAAAAGATGCTCTAAGCCCACTTGCATGTAATATTTTCTGTTTTCTCTACCGATTCTTTTTTTTGGGTGGGATAAAAAAAATCTGCAAATCAGCCGAGTCCAGTCACGTTGTGTTTTTGTTTGTTTGTTTTTTAAAGAGTGTTAGTCTATTTTCAAGTGGGACGAATCAGACAGTTTCGAGCAGAAGGGGGCTCTTTCCCACACAGGTTGGACTTTCCTTCACTTACACGGCCTTTTAGCTGTGCCTTTGTGTCTTTCAGAAGCTGAGTTTAACAGATTCTCTTAAAAATATATTTAGCTCAAGTTACACTAGATTGATTGATTGATTGAATCTTTATTTTGAACATGTTGAAAAAGTATAAAAAAAAAAAAAATAGA